GAGGGATACTAGTGTGATGTCGATCATAGGCATTTCGACGTTCAAGTCAGCACAATTAAAGTGAATTTAGTACCACGGCACGACTTATTGGCATAGAGTGGTTGGGGCACGACTTTACAATGATTTTGGGAGTAAAGTTAGTCGGAACTAGGCTCTACGACGGGGAAATGCAGTGGTTCTTGGGAGCAAGAACTTAGTGAACTAATGAAAGAAGTTGTGATTGAATGAATAATGAGAGGATTGGCTTTTGTTTATATAGTGAGCTAAGGAAGCTTGAGTTATTGTAAAATCAGGTGTTCTCACAATAGAAGTTTGATTAAATAGGAAACTAATAGTGCTAATCCATGTAGAAGTAGGAGTAGAAATACTAGTTCATATAAGACTAGAAGTTTTGGATGAACTAGGATATGTATGGGACTTAGAGTCCTATTGTGGGAGGAGTGTAAACTGATGGGCTAAAGCCTGAGGTAACATATCCTGTAAAAAGGCCCAACTCATGGAGTGGCCCAAAATTTAGGTTGACCCAATTCATAGGGTGGCCTTGATAAGAGTGATCAACTAGTGGAGTAAGCTGAATCATGGTATGGACTAGCTAGTAGAGTAAGCCGGCCAATAGAAAGGTCCTTCTTACAAAATGGATCATCTTGTTGGATGGTCTTCTCACAGGATGAGTTTTGATATGGGCCTAATCGGAGTTGGTTTGTTGCATTGAGCCTGAAGCTTTTGGGTAGACCAGAGTTGGGCTTTTGGCATGAGCCCAATCTAAGTTGAGTTGTGGACTCATGGCATGGAGCCACTTGATATTGGGCCAACCAGAGTTGGGCCTTGATGTGAAGCCTTTTGCTATTGGGTTAACCAGAGTCGGGCCTTGGCGGGGAGCCTTTTGCTATTCAGCCAGTCGCAGCCCGATACAGATTTTTACGTCAACACTTAAAATATTACTCTTGAAGCCTTAAATTTCAATTTATCATCCATGCATAGTAGTTAAAACATAGAAAAACAACATAAAGCTCGTAACATAAATTTTAAACTTTATAGGATTTGATACTTTGAAAATTGGATTTGACACTTACAATGATAATAGTGAAACCTATAACTCAAACTGAAATCTATGAAGAATATTTGAAATTAAAAAAAAAAAAAAAATTTGAAACTCACTATATTATACTGGAAACCTTAAAATTTAAAATTTGTAGTAAAATTTGGTATTATTTATATTACACTTGAGACTTTAATATTATATTTGATTCTTTTTTAACGTATATTTATAATTAACAGTATTAAGAATTATATTTTTTTAATTTTGAAAAAATAAAATAATTTTTTAATATTATTTTACCTAATTTTTGGGACAATCAATTGCAAGAACAAAAGGGTGGACAAAATCGGATTTGAGTCGGGTTTGACCTGCCTAACTCAACCCAATTCAATTTTAGGTTTGAACAATCACACACAAAGTCAACCCGACATCATTGGTAACTTGATCCTGTCCTGACATATTCGGGTCGGGTTGAGTGATAATTGGGTTCAGCTTAAACCTATTTATATATTATTGTACTTCTTTTATCATTCTCTATAGATGTAGAACTTAAGAATGTATCATATTTGGTGGAACAATCCTTTGGAAATCATTGGAAAATTTGAAGGCATGGTCTGAAAGTTGATGCCCACCAGCTTCACGCTCACCAGAATCAACAGCCTGAATAAACCAATTATATGCAAATTTTAACATTCATTATCATACCATATATCTAGTTGACTCGAAAATAATTAAGTGACTTACAGAATTAACAAATGAGCTCTCATTTGTATGCTACGACGAATGAGCAAGCACAACAAGAATTATAACAAAGACCAGTGTAAAAACAAATATGCTAAAATTGTTCTTAATCCCCAAAACTGTTAGAATGAAGTAAATGAATGTTACGGTCAATTGGACCATATGGAGAAGATTATATCAAGCACCCCAATTTGCCTGCGTGCTTCTCTTGATGTTGCATTGGATTTTTTCACAAGTGAAGTGTAAATTTCCCATAAACATTTAGCGTAAATGATATGGATTCTAACGCTAAGAAAATCACCGCCATTGTATGCCTCTCATATTTATCCAAAAAGTCTTGAGTACTAATTGGAAAATAGCTTTTTTCTGAAAGTGTCTCAGGAAATAACTCGAGAGAATTGCCGACCACCACCACTAGCGGTCACTAGAACCGCGCATAGCCGGTCGAATCTGACCGACCATACACTAATAAGATAAAAACCCCCTTAATCAATGGGCATTTTATTACTTTTCGAAAATCGCTAGGGCTTTCAAAACCTTAGCTATCTATATAAAATAAAAACCCAAAAATTATAAGATAAAACGATTATCTTACTTGGGTAAAGTCTAATGCTAATAGCATGTTGCGAAGTTAAATATGGTGATAACATGTTATGAAGGATTGGCTTTCTTTTTATTTCTCTATGGTTGTGTTTGCTTTACAGTAATCAACATGGGAATGGAATCTTATCACCCATCCCATGTTTGGTTTCATTAGTTCAGCATGGAATAAGACTTGTTAAGTTGAAGACATGAAACGGTGCGGTTTTGTCTTAAGTTGTACGACATCGTATTGGGGAGCTACTGAAGTGAATCATGGTCATTGATTAACTTCAGATCCAGTGGCTGAAAAACAACTTTTGGTCCATGGTATATAAAGGAGCAAATAGTGTAAAATCTGCAGGTGCGTTCTTCGTGTTTGATAGAGCAAATCTATTTGGGTTTTTTCTTTTACAATCAATTTGTGTAACCTGGTGTGAGTGAGTGATTAGAGAGTTAGTCGTTCAAGTGAGAGGGGTTTTACTCTCAAGATCTTAGAGATTTAAGGGAGAATTCTCTATGTTGGGTTACATGAGAGATTTGGTTGTTTGTGGGTGTGAGATCTTTGAATCTTTGTTGTAAACTCTTGATTCTAATTGATTAGTGCAGTGAGTTTTTCCGATTCTAGAGCTCAACGTGAATGTAGCCTATTCAATCTTGGTAGTCTATCCAATCTTGAACAGGTGAACCATGATGAATTTGTGTGTATTGTTGTGGTTTGTTATTGTGTGGTTTTTTGTCGTGACTGTATGTTAAAGATTATGAAGATTTCATAACGAGACTCTTATTCGTTAAAAAAGTGTGGAATGTCATTCCTTAAAAATGTGTGGAATGTCATCCATTAGCAGTATTAGACTAAGAAAATGTCTATTTTAACCCTCTCTAATTTTATTTTTCCATTTTACGCATAAGAAAATTAATTTAAATTTTTATTATTTTGTTAAAATATTAATTATTAAAATAATCAAACATATTTGCTATTTTGCCACTGTTGGTGCCACTGATAGAAATAGCCACTAACTGCCGAAAAAGTCATTGCCGACGAATTTCCTTCACGTTTCCGATGTCACTGCTAGTAGGTGGACGACCAGAGCTCGCAAATCTACTGATCTGGGCAAATCCTGACGGCCAAAAGCCATCATAATTACATCATGTTCGGTGGCATTTTGTCACGGCCACCACGCATGCCATCACTTTGCTGACTTTTGGCGACTAGGATCTGCCTATATAGATAAATTGTCGGCCACTCATTCACCACGTGCTGGCAGTGATGCTGGAAAAGTAGCGGGAAGTCATCGGCCGACAACTTTGACCAGTATTGACAAGCTTAAGAATTTTGAAAAAAATTTAATCCTAAATCCTTTTGAACTATTTTGAAACTTTTGAAACTTTTAAAATTTTGAGATTTTTAATTAAGTAAAGAATAAAATTTATATTTATTAAATAAAGTTAATTGGGGGTATTTTTATCCAAAAAAATAAATAATATTTCATTCCTTCAAGATTCTTTACTACAAGCAAACAATGCAATCCCCTTCCTTTCCTTACTAATTTTTCTATTCCATTGATTTCTATTCTTAATGCATATTCCCTTCCAAGTACCAAACATGGCCTATGTACCTTTCACACAGAATAAGACCTCAATATATAGTCTCACAAACAAACGCATACAATTAATATAATAAAGAAAAAGGTAAATTAACACCGATTCTAATAAGTAATTCAATTGATATAAATGGTCAACTATTAATGAATAAAAATCATGTGCACATTTATGACAATTGATTAATTGACATCTCAATTATTAGCTACCATAATTTTTTTTTTTTAAAGAATTTAGATAACACAATGATAACTATTATTCCTTGAATTCTTAATTTGCTAGGAATTTACTCCATAACTAGTACTTAAAACCTTATATGTGTAACATAGGAGTCATACACCTAAATCAAGAATCACAAGGCCTGAACAAACATTTCATGAAGGATTAATATGACATCAACCCCCCTGCGGTTTGATTAAATAAAAAATCTCACCGAGGTTTTTGAAATAACAAAAATCCTCTTATTATTAAGAACTGTTATGTAAGTGACCCATTAACTGTCACTTAGTTATGGGCAGTTACAATCCACTTCCATTAGGAAATGAATGCAACTTGAGATAACCATCTCATTAACCACTTGGGGTCCTGGGTGATGATTATATAATAAGGGATTAGTTTCCCTTATTATATTACCTTATTCCAATAGTGAGCCATTATATCTTACACACTATTCGAGTTAATAAATATTTACCTTATTACCCTTTTGCCATTTAGTTTAACACTTATGACTTAATTGTATGGAAATTTATGTAATATTTTTGGAATGTCAAGGGAAATTTCATTATTTAATCAAACCTATGAGAGATTTGTTATTAACTCTTTGATCAATCTTATAAGAAATAAGAGTTCTAAAAATAAATATACAAGATTCATAACATATATCCATTCACTTGTTATCAATGGTGTATAATATTACCCAAAATAATATAATGCATGCTCATCCTTCTATTGATTACTTTTAACAAAATATTACTCTTAGTATCATTGATTTATCTAACGGATGACAAATTACAGTAGCTCTCTGCAAATAACATTAACATTTTTTGTTGAGGCATATGATCTGTTATTTGCATGCCTCTAGGGATCATATGCTATCTTCTAAAGTGGTCATTCCCGATTGTCACCGACATTTGTTCTTTGCTGATGAACCGGGATGACCGGGACGGTTTAGGCACGGATTGAAGCGAGGACGAAAAGATTTCGTCATATTTAAATTACCTGTAAAGGCACGCAAACAAATTAAAAAAAACAAAAAAAGGTAATGTAATAAAGCCTTGAAACTTCGGCTATTAATAGACATACTCCTCATAATTTAAAAAATATCAACAAAACCATTGTCATTAGAATATTCTCATTATTAGCTAGCTCCTAATAGTTTGATTTCTTATGATTTGTAAAATTTCAGTAATAGTCATTGTCTTATGAAAATTGACTTGAACATAAGATTGTCATTTACATTAATATGCATCCTAATTGTTATTTTACTAATTAAAACAAACCCTTTGTTAAAAACAAATAATAATTAAGATATATATCATAACGCCATATGATATCATTATTACAAAAAATAGTACAAGTGTATATATATTTAGAGAGAGAAAGAGAGAGATAGAAAGAGAAAGTACTAACTGTTTAGATTTCTCTCAACAAGAGCTACCAGTGGAGTAAAAAGGAGAGCAATAGTGAAGAGAAAGAAACAAACAAATAAGTGAGAAGTACTGATATTGCTTGCCATATTTGCTTTTCTACTTTTATCTATAATAGCTAAGAGATGGTATATATAAGCAGGGCAGAGGGAGAGGGGTCAAGGTGGGTCAGTTGACCCTCCTTGACTTTGAAAAATTATCAAAATTCAAATATATATATATTTTTAAATTTGTACAAAGGACAGAAAAAAAGTTTATATATCTTTTCATAATTTTATCATTTCTAAAATTTGTTTATTAAATTAAATTACATCATTGTTATATATATATATATATATATATATATATATATATATATATATATATATTTATAGAGAGAGAAGAGAGAAGAGAGAGAGAAGAGAGAGAGAGAGAGACTTACAACCCACAGTCACGACCGCTCACTTAAATTACGGATGCTCAAATGAAATTAAACATGAGACCGTGTACCTATTTATACTATCCCCAATTGTTCTAACCATCTAGACTACCACATATGGGTTATATCAAAATATTAAACTTAGGAAAAAAAGATAATATGAAAAATATGTAGTTTGATGCATATTTTAGGTTCGAAACATAAAAGTGAAATTAAACAAAAGTTATAATATTTTACTATAAAAGCTAGACAAATCTTTGAATTTTTATTAATAGAAATTTTTATAGTTTAATTTGGAGTGTGTGTTATTTGTACTTGCTTAATAACTTGTTTATTAGTAAATTTTTTATTTTATTTTACCCTCATTAAAGTATTATATATTTATTCTATATCGTCAAACATAATCATAAATATATTAATTATAAAGAGCTTTATAAATAAATACTTATATTTTTGTATAACTTATACTCATATATTATTATTATAATTATTTATAATTGTATTATTAAGTTTAATAAACTCTTGACCCCGTAAAACGGGTGTCTGACTACACCTGTATACCATTAAAGCAGCCGTGACTTGAATTTCATTATGCTTTACAAAATCAAAGCACTGATGAGTAATGACACTAAGTGGATTAATTTGATTCTTCCATTGACAGAGATTGATTAGTTGTCACAGGAAACCATGGATTTGGGGAAATTTAATATGAAATTTTAATTACTATTCCAATTGATAGAGATTGATTAGCTGTCATAAATAATACTATATTCATTACCACTTGTAACGTCTTAGACATTATATTATATTCATTTAGATATACTTACCTGTTATGAGGGGTTTCAAAAATATCATAAAATCCATCTGTTTTAAGATATCTATATAATTACGATTATATCCTTAATAATTTAGAACAAAACTAGATTCTCTTTCGTTATTAATGAATAAAAGCATATATGATTTGTAAGGTTCTATTGCTTTGCGATTTCCTACTAAAATTTGTTCATTTTTTTTTTTGTCTCTAATTCCTTATTGATGCTTGTTGGATTTCTAAAGGGTTTGTTTTTTACCGTTAACTTTTTTCCCTACAACATTATAAATATCAAACAAGAATTATTGTATGAAATAATTGTATAACTTTGCAATATTTTATAGCTAAGAAGGTTAGATTTATATCATTTTTTTTTTTTCAAATTAAAGAGAACCAAGCTATCAAAGTAATACTGTAATTATGGATATCTTTTAAGGCTAAGGGAAATATTTCAATATTGATTACCAAGTTATGTGCATCCTTTGCCAAAAAAATGTTTTGGTGGGGGGTTATTACTTAAATCACTTGTTCTGAAAAAAGTCTTTATGGTGTGTACTAGTGATATCATTACGTTTATTAGTGGGGGGTTATGACTTAAATCACTTTTTCTAAAAAAAAGTCCTTATGGGGTGTGCACTAGTGAATAGTGATATCATTACATTTATTAGTGGCGGGTTACTACTTAAATTCGTCATAGGGTATTCGTCACAGGATATTTCTTAAGTGAATTTTTGATTTTTTATTATTTGGATTTTTATATTTTTCAATTTTTATAATTTATGCCTCAAATTTTTCAGATTTTTTTATTCTTATTTCAAAATTTTAGATTATTATTATTTTTTCTTTTTTTCAAATTTTTTTTTCCATGTATAGTAATGTTATTAGATTGAATAAACCTAATTATATTTATGTATTATTCAATTTTAAACAACTGGTATAAAAACCATAATAAACCTCAACTAGTTAACTTTTAACACTTTTGAGCCGTTAAGTGTCCTCTCATTAAGTAAAAAAAAAAAACTTGCGCCTTTTCTCTTTTTTTTTTTTTTTTTTTAGAGAGGTTTTAAACAAAGTTTCCGCATAATCATAATAGTTCATAATAATATAAACATTTAATTAAGGGTTATTTTTGTTGGAGGACATCTGTTTTAAAAACTAAAGAAAAGGATGCAAGTTTCATTTTTATCAATAAACCAACACTTTTATCAATTGAAGAATTTTTTTTTTTACACTTTTTATCAATAAGTGGAGACGTTTTTAGAGACATATTGTCAAAGTGTTATTTCATTGATAAAAAAATGTCCATTTATTAACATAAATGAAACTTTTGTCATCTTTCTTATAATTTTAAAATAAGTGTCTCCAAAGAGAATAACCCTCTAATTAATAGTAAAAAATCTTTTTCTTTTTTAAAGTAGGATAAATTTTATTTATATGTTCCCAACACATCAAAATAGCAATCTAATGTTCTTATCAACATGTAACAGAAGTCTAACAATATATTAAAATATTATCTCCACTTATAGCTTCTCATCACTGTTGAATCCAATTCCCATTATTCTATTATTTAATTATTTTTTTGCACCCACTAAATTAATTATTTGAGAATGAGTAAATTAAAAAAAAGTAAAAGAGACTAGAAATAGAACTGTAAATTAAAATATGATCTCTAGTTAGAACTTCCTTTATGGGTTGAACCTAACAATTTCCCATTATTCTAAAGACAAAAAAAGTTGATTAAACTTATTATAGGTGAAAGATTTAACAATTAAAATTTAAATCACACGTGAAAGGAATTTTGGGCCAAATCGTTTCCCTTTTCAATTTCAGTTTCTTTTTGGAAAATATAGCGTTCATTCACTAATCAATTTGTGTCACTATAAGAAATAGGGTTTTTTTGTGGCGGGCATTTCTTGTCACTAAAGGGTTTTGCACCCCAAGGTTGAATCCAACTTCCCATTATTCTACTATTTAATTATTTTTTTGCCTCTACTAAATCAATTATTTGAGAATAATTAAATTGAAAAACAATTAAAAAAGACTAGAAATAGAACAATAAATTAAAAATATGATCTTCACTTAGAACTTCCTTTACGTGTTGAACCCAACAATTTCCTATTTTTCTAAAGACACATGAGTAAAGATGCTATGACTTGAATTACACTAAGTAGATTGAGTTGATTCTTCCACTGATAGAGATTGATTAGCTGTGATGGGAGACAATGGACTTATGGAAATTTAATATGAAATTAACTTTATTACTATTACAATTGTAGACTAGTGCGGCATTGGTCATAAATACTATTATATTCATTACTACTTGAAACGTTTTAAGCATTATATTATATTCATTATATAAACTGTAAAATATAAAAATACTTGTACCACCCTAAGGTTTAAAAAATATCATAAAATCCATCTGTTTTAAGAGATATAAATAATTAGGAGTATATATGTGATTTAACCCTTAATAATTTAGAAGAAAACTATTCTCTTTCGTTATTTGCATGACTTATGAACAAAAGCATATATAATTTGCAAGGTTTGATTGCTTTGGGTGACTTTGTGCTTGTGTTGATTTCATATATATATATTTATATTATATATATATATATCTATAATATATATATATTTTGTGTGTGTGTGTGTGTAATTTTTGTTTTACCCTAAAGTATTTTTTCGCTACAATATCATATATATCAAACGAGAATTATCAAATGAAATAATTGTATTACTTTTGCAATATTTTGTAGCTAAGAAAGTTAGATATATATCATTTTTTTCTTTCAAAATAAAGAGGATCAATATATAAAAGTAAGATTTAGGGTATCTTTTAAGGTTAAGGGAAATATTTCAATATTGATTACCGAGTTATGTGCATCTGCTACCAAGAAATTGTTTTAGTGGTGGGTTTTACTTAAAGAGTAAACGACATGTTCCTGCCTAAGGTTTGACGAAATGGTAAGTTTCCACCCTTGGTTTCATAAATTCCAGATTTCCACCCTTCAATTAACAGAAAATTAATTAATTTAACAGTTAAAAGGGTAAAATAGTCAGTTCAAAAATGAAAATTTTAAAACAACCCTTCACTTCTTAAATTCACCCTATCGCACCACCGACGATTTTAGGTCGTTCCAGCTTGTTCCTGGTGCAATTGATCCCTTCCTAGACCACCATTACAATCCCCTCAACCCCCACATCAAAACCCCTAACCTCTTTACTTGATTGGACCCCCCAATTACGGGCCCCTGCTCTTAGTTTTGGTCATGTGTTTCATCCAAATTCTAGCTGATCTCGGTACCAAAAACCACCGCTGACACCACCAATAGCATCATCGGCTTTCCCCACCAAAACTCCCAACATCTTTGATCACAATTGCTCGCCGATCGCCACTACCTCTCCCCTAGGGTTTTGCTTGATTATCGTGCCTTTCCGGCCAAATTATGACCATCTCGGTGTTAGAAATCACCCTGACACCACCAATAGCACCACAATCATCCCCCCTTCAAAACCCCTAACACCCTCGACCCTTGTTGGTCGTCGATCACCATCCACCTCCCCCTTAGGATTTTGTGAAATTGTTGTTTTTGGGTTGATTGGAAGTTGATTTGGAGTTTGGTTTTAAAGAAGACTGATTAGTTTTGAAGTGTTTGTTGTTTGTTGATTGATTGTTGTTTTTTCTCGGCCATTTCACCCTGTCTCCGACCTCCACTAGCCTTACCATTGCCCACGCCCACCAAGTGTTCGACAAATTGCCGTAGAGACACTGAACCTTCACCCACACGTCGGGATAGTTGATGGAGGTAGGGTTGTTGAGGAGGAGGAAATGGGGATGCTGATGGTGGTGTCAAGGGTAATTTTTGGTAT